AGGCAGCCAGGCGGTCACTGGGGGAGCCCCTTGCCTCTCATCCCTTCCTCGTGGGTGACCCGCCTGCGGACCTGTCTGCTCTTGTATTTCCCACCGCTGTTTTCTGGAGTGACAAAGAATCTTGCACCGAAAACCGCCCTGCGCTCAGCCGCCCCATCCCGCCCCCACCCCCAGTGACCTGTCTGCTTTCTTTTCCTTTCCTTCCCCTTCGTCTTCTTGTTCTCTTCCTTCCTAGCTCCCCTCTTCCCCGGGAAGGCGTTAACAGCTTATTACAGGGATTGGGAGGAGGCGGGTCCCCAGCAGTTTCTCCCCCAGCTCAGCCTGGACTCTGGGGCGTGCGCTTCCGCGCGTGGCCACGAGGGCGCGCTGCGCAGTAGCCGAGGCTTGCTGAGCGGCGAAGGCCTGCGGAGCGGCTCCCTCCCTGGGAGGACGCGGCTGGCGCCCGCGGGAGTCCGCTGCCGGACCGGCCGGCCGGGAGTAGGCGAGAGCCTCAGGTCCGTGAGCGGTGCTGGGTCCACCCGTCCTCGGGCATGGCCGGGCATCTGTGCCTCTCCCCTTCTCGGCTCACTACCTTTGGGTCTTTTGGCTGTTCGCTGAGCAACAGAACAAACCCGTGCCTCGGGAGCTAGCTGACTTCTGGGGTTCCTGCCCCCTGTATTTCTTTGCACTCCCTGCAGGAAGTTTGGGGAGGCTTAGTGAGCGGTTCCGAGAGCCCACTAGCCCTCCCTGAAGTAGGAGCGCAGAGCTGGGCTTTCCACGGAGCCAGACACCTGCCTCTGAAGGTGCCTGGGGTCCCCCCCACCCCTGTCAGGTGTGCAGCCAGGTCCCCAGATCTGAAAGGTCCGGCTGCAGCTGGCTGGAGCCGGCTCAGGGAAGGAGCCTGGGTGGGCGTCTCCCTGACAGCCCTGCCAGTGACTGATTTCTAGGGAAGCCTGTGCCACCTCTTGGTGCTTGTCTTACATGACAAACTCGTTTGTCTCAGGCAGCAGGACGCGCAGCTGCTCGGGGACTGCACGGGGGAGAAATGGACTTAAACGAGCGTCCAGTGTCGCATGTTGAGGGCTGACTGCGGACTGACGCCCCTGGGTGCTGGGCTGCCGAGCAGGCTGGGGGCAGCGTGGAGACAGAGGGCTCACAGGGGCGGGCCCAGGCGTGGCGCAGTGCGCGAAAGCACAAAGATGTCTGGGGTGTGGACAGGGGCTGGCCACTCAATGCGGGACCAGCACAGGGCTTCGGTGTCAGTCTCACAAGGTGCGGACGAAGGGGTTTGCCTTCCCCTGCCGGGCCTGTTCACGTGGGTCCTCCAGACAAGGTCCTCGGTGACTGAGCTGGTGCAGGCCAGCGGGGGGGGGGGGGGGGGACGGATGAGGTCTCTCTGGACTTCTCCCGCCCGAGTCCAGCCATGTCTGGAAGTGCTGCCCAGGGCACGGCAGGGGCGGGGGGACAGAGAGGACTCAAGTTTCTGAAGGGAATAGGGAGTTGTCCCTGGGCAGTGATCCAGTGTAAAGTGACCGCTCCTCCAGCTGTGTGACCCACCACAGTCGGGGCTGGTGGGAAGCCTGTGTCCATACTCCTGGGGGTGGTGGGGCGGGCAGCTGGGGGCCCTGACAGACAGGGCCACGGGCCTGGTGATGCGCTGGTGGCTGGCCGTGCTGTGGGGCAGGTGATTCTTGATGTGGCCTGGTGACCCTGGGCATAGGTGGCTGGGAATGTCCCATCTCTGGAGCTAAGAGTCAGGCCCCATGGATGCGATGAGAGAGACAGTTGGACTTTGTTACTGCAGTCTGGGGGCCCCAGTCCGGGGATGACACAGATGATGCAGACGGAGAGTGTCCCCGGAGCAGGCTGAGGCACGGTCTGCCCCCGCCCGAGCGCACAGCCAGCTCGGAGCTCCGGTCTGGGTACAGACAGGCCTGCAGGTGCCTGCAGCAACCACTCCAGCTTTTGCAGGGCTTGGCTGGAAAGGGACTGGGGCCTGAGCGGCTGCAGGGCAGCCATCGCGTGAAGGTCAGTCTACAGGAGGCCAGGAGGCGTCCGCAGCCAGTGGCTCAGCCAGGTGGGTGGGTGGGGACAATGTCCCAGCGCCTCCCGGAAGCATTCATCTCCTTCCACCCCGGGGGACTGTGTGGGCACAGTGTGCTGGGTACCTGCCCTCTTGGAAGCATCTGTGGGAAGGAGGGCCCAGAGCAGAAGATTCAGAGCCTGCGCCGCCCGAGCCTGGGTGTGCTGCCCTCCTCCCCAGCTGTTGGCCAGGCTTCTCTGCCAACTGTGGGCATGTGAAGAGGGATGAAGCTGGTGGTGGTGTCACATCATGCCACCTGGGCAGACAGGGGAGGAGGGCAGACAGGAGAGGGGGCTCCAGAGGCAGGTGGGCCTTGCCGACAGCTGGGGGCTCGCCTCAAGGTACTGAACTGCCATGAGCCCCGTTCATATTCACAGGCCACCGTAAGTAGTATCTTCCCCAGCGGGTATTCAGAGAAGCAAGATGGGAGGCAACGAATCTGGCACTAAGTAAGTGCTCAGTAAACACAAGCACTCCCTGAGGGCTGAGGGCACTGGTGGAGGCCCACGCCAGAGGGGCCTCTGAGCTGCACGGGAGGGCACCCACGGTGCTGATGGGCCCGCCCTTCCTCTGCTCCTGGGGCTTGTTCCCCTCCTGTGTCCCAGGTTTGTGCTTTTTTTCCTTCCCCTGTTTAAAAGTGGGTGCCTTTGGAGACTCACATTCTACCGTGAAAGTCCTGAGATGCTGCTCTAACCTGAGGTCTGTGCATTTCACTGGAACGTGAAAGGAGAAAACAGTTCCCCACGAATCCTTCCAGGGCCGCAGCACAGCTGCATCCCTCGGGGTCTGGAGAGCTGGACCCTGAGCTCAGCGGGGTTCACCTAGCCCAGGCTGAGGAGCCAGTCGGGGAGGAGCTGGGCTGGGCCATGCTGGTGGCCATCCTCCCAGCCCTGATCTGGGCACAGTCGGAAGCAGGACACGTAGGGGCCAGCCCCTTCAGCAGTGGGCAGGCCACTGACCGCAAGGCCCAGAGGTGAATTTGCTAAGTGCCCCTGGGAGCTACAGGTGGAGGCAAGGAAATGTCAGAAGGCCCAGAGCAGCCAGGCAGGGAGAAGACCTACTATGTGCGCTCCTGCTGTGTGCTGGTGGGGCGGTGGAGCTTCGGGGATTTCATCATGACTTGAAAGACTTTATCTTAAGCAGTGGCTGAAAATCATCCCCCCACCCCCACAAACGGCACGGTGGAGAAACAGAGGGTGAAGCTCGGTGCTCAGGACACCGAGCCAGTGGGTGGCAGAGCTGGTGCCAAGTGCAGGCTGCCCTTCCTGGGGCCACGTGTGCCGCAGCACCCCGTGACTTTCTCGGCAACTTTAGAGCAGAGGGAGACTGGAGGAAGAGGCTGGCGGGGGCCTTTCCTGCCAGGGCACCTTGGCTCGGAGCCGGGTCGCGTTCGGTCTTGAGGTAGCGCAGAGAGCAGGCACCTGTGGAGTCAGGGCAGCTTTGGGGCTCTGAGGTGTCCGCCCAGTGTGGCTGGACCCAGAGCCGCCCCCCTCTGCATTCTGGGTGCAGGAGCTTCCCCTGCCGCCTGCCAGGGCCCTGAGGAGGAATGAGCCCACATCCATGGGCAAGGTGGTGTGTCTGCTCCTGGTGTTCTGACTGACAGTTACAGCTTTGTGAGTTAGTGAGGGGGACCTGCCTAGGGCAGGGGGCGCCCGCAGAAGTGGGCTTGGCAGGGGAAGGCGTTTGGTCTGCTGGGGTCTTTGCCCCACATGCCTCCGCCATGCTGAGGGTCTGGGGGAGCGGTTGGTGGGCGGAGCAGGGACAAAGAGGCGCAGAGCACATCGCACCTACAGGTTCCAGGAAGCAGGGCGCACTCACTTGTGGAGACCTGGCGCTGCTGCCTGTTTATGGGCCAAGAGAGTGGCAGCCCCGCGAGTGCCGATGACAAAGACGCACTGAAGGGCACCGGCTTTTATGTAACGGCCTGGGCACTGGCACTGAGGGTCTGCGGGCCCTGGCGCTCAGAGCCGGGAGGAAGGACAGGCGCCCGCGGTATTTTCTTGCAAATACGAGGGGGCAAAGCGGCTAAACAAGTTAGGGGAAGTACAGGAGCTTGAAGGAGCTGGGCAGCTAGCCGCCCCGGCCTCAGACCCCCCTGGGGCGAGCCCGCAGCTCCGCCCGACTTCGCACCGCCGGCCACCTCCCCGGCCGGCCGCGGGGAGATGGGCAGCCGCTGAAGTCGCGGGCCGCCGGGCGCGACCACTCCTGGGTGACCTTGGGAGAGCTGCGCGCCCTCTCTGGGCCTCAGTTTCCCGGTCGCTGGGCCTGGCCGGGCAGTCGTGGTCCGGGGGGTTGACCGTGCGCCCTGGGGGCTGCGGG